CCTGCCCAGCAGCAGCAACCCCAGCCTGCCCCACCCCCACCACACCAAGGGAACTATGGCGGCTACCCGCAGGGCCAAGGCCGGTATGGGTATGGTCCTGGCCCCGGGCAGGCCCAGGGGCCGCCGGGGCCAGCCGGCCCTGTTGGGCCTGTAGGGCCGGGGCCCGGTCCCCAGCAAGCAGGTGGTTATGGAGGTTATGGCCAAGGACAGTATGGGCCTGGTTATCAGCAGTGATAGGAAATCTCCTCGATCCACCTCCGATCGAAAGGGTACCCCTAGGTCCAGTCTCATGGTCTTGTTTAACAGAAGTAAACAGCACCGTGTCTCACAAACAAGTGAGCTTATTTCATCCATTTTTGTACATTTTAGCACAGCTGTGGATCACTTGTGTAGTGGTCCAAGTGCAGGAAAAAGTTGACCCAGCCATGTTAAGCACAGAATGGTTCAATCGTGAAGTGCGCTGATTTGCTGATCGAGTGTTGTGCCTACACTGTAAATTTGCTGGTTATTGGTTGCTTTCTTTGTAGTTGCTCTGTGTCGTTGGGCCCTGCTGGGTCGGTAATGCATTCCTTGGCCACGTATTGTGCATCGGGACATATATTCACAAGTGTTGTACTTGAGTCTGTTACAAGTCCTGTAAGTGAAGTCATAGTCTATCATGTGTTCATTGCAAATCATTCAGTGTTAAGCCCAGTCGCAATCTGTTTGAGTGAGTTGTTACAAAAGCATTCCTTTGTCATTATTCACCCTGCTCCTTTGACTGGTCTCATAAAGGGACTTGTGACTAGATTCATGAGTGGAATTTTGTTGAATTCTACTCAAACATTTAGAATTGTATTTTTTAGAGACTCAAACCGGTTGATGCGTTTTTAATTCAAAATGGACATGCAAAAGCAGAATGCAATTTAAATCTACCTGTGTTCAGACTTGAAATGTGCTCGTGAGTGCATTTGAGATTAACTGGTGATCGACTCAGGACGGAATTGTGATGGACCCAACAATGCGGCTTGCATTGAAATAGGGTTAGGTTACCTGTTTGTTGAACATCATACGTACATGTACATGTATCTAAGGCTAATGCAGGCTTCCATTTCGAATTCAAAATCGCATCCAGATGTCTGAGAACAAACACAGTGCTAGGCAAGTGAAACGAGGGAAGTTATTTGGACATGTCTAATTAACAAACTAGGAGCATGTAGACCAAGAGACAAGCTCTTCAAATCAACTGCAACAAAAGAATTTGTTTCTCGTTGTTCACCCTCTTACTTGTGACTTGTCTTGTGTTTGCTCTTCAGACAGATCTTGTGTGGTAGTCCCAGCTACAATACTTCTGTACAGTTAGGTCTTAGATTTGCTCTGTTTTGCTTTGCTTTGGTTTTCTTTGCCAGTTGTTGTAGGTGATATTTTCCGGACTTTCCCCACAAGACTTTACATGAAACACTGCAAACCCATTCTGCATAGATGTTCTTCACTTCGTGTGTAAATATTTGTCATTTTAGTTACTGTTTCAAGGTCTTGCTGTTCATTGTGAACACACTGCTTGTAAATTTTGTGACAAGTGTTAAGTTTGTTGGTATTTTGGGAGTCTTGCATTGAAGTTATGTGCTGCAGAGTCAAATAACTGTTGGGGGAGAAAAATCCAAACAGCCTTCATAAAAGAAAATCACATGTACATGTATGTGTGCTTGAACTCCATGGCTGGTCAGCTTTCATGCCAAACAGTGGAATACCCCAGCAGGCAATTTTGTACCTGTTGCAAGTTTATGCACAATGAAGATTTGTGGCATCACAGCAAGTACATGTATGTCTGTGCTGCGAGGATGGTAAACTAGTGAATGTGGAAAAATTGTGCACATTTCAGTGTGAACATGCTTTCTGAAGTGGTATTTGCATTGAGCTTGCATTTTTGTGAAGTTGGACCAGGCCTCTAACGAAAATTGATGCTTGTGTACATGTTACTTCTACATGTCTTAAAGCTTGGAAGATCACCTTATCATCCCTGAAACTATGGTATCAAGTCGTATCCAAAATGGGCTTCCAGAAGCTATGGCAGCATCTTCCATCCCCAGGTGCCCACACATTAACAACTTGGGAGATCTTCATGCACATGTAGATCTAACCCTGGGCATGAGGTTCATTGGTATGGGGGGGTAGGGCTTGATAAAAAAAATTAATTCCACGATGCATTTTGTGTGTGATGTGATGCATGGTTTTTAAATTTTTGCTTGGTTTCGGGGGCACATAGCGACCTTCATCTAAGGGTAAATTGGGGAAGTAGCTCTCTATGTAACATTACCCATTAAAAAATTGGTACCAAACAGGGGTGAAGATGTAGCACTTTGAACACCAGTTATGATGGCGAATGTGCACTTCATAGATGCCCCCTTTTACTGTGTGCACACTGCAAAAACATGCAGTCCTGAGCTCCTGGTAACAGGCCACAACTCTTGTGGGGCGCTCATTACAGTGGTGTAAAGACAACATTACCTGGATGTGGCTAGTGGTTACATGTGAACCTACATATGGGTAACAGATGAAGCTCCTGGCTGACATCATCCTGAGAAACATGCCTATGGATTTTTAATTTTTCAAAAACATCGCTTGTTTCTGGCAATGGGTTTTGTTTATTTTGTATATTCTATCAAACTGTGGCAAATGGCTGTAACATTGTTTTGAATGCTTTATCATTAAAATGACAAGGTAACATTCCAATCATCTTGATCTGTCTGGAATTTGTTTGGACAATCTGTTTGTGCTGTTGTAGTCACTTTTGGTTACATGTATTATTTTTTATGGAATTACATTTAGTTGCTGTTACTGTTTATTCAGGCAAATTGGAAACAAGTATCTTGCCAAGGTTAGTGTGATACTCTGACATAAAAAGTCCCGAGCATCCCAAAAAGGACCATTTCACGGCAAAGATTTGCACATTCCAAAAAAAGATGACCAACTTCAAATACTCGGGGTCCATCTTCCGTAGATAAACTTCAGCTCATTTAGTTTCATGATTTTGTGCCAAAATAACTGACTGGGAGAAACACGATATACAAAATTTCCATTATAAGTTTATTTCAACAGCCAGTATCATTTATCATTGCAACACATGCATTATATTCCATGCCTTTATAGTTACAGTTTGTGCCAAGTCACTTTTTTTAAAATTGAAAATGAATGGCCCATGCAAGCATGTTAATCAGAAATGCCTTGATGGAAAAATGTCTTAAAGTGTCGCCATGCTAACTTTTTGTAAAATGTATCAACTGCATCAACCAATGTAGATTTGCCACCAACTTAAACCTGGTGTTCTAAAAGGTGAAGGACTGAGGACTATAAAGGTTAAACACCTTTGCTCAGACCAAGGAAAAACTGGTACGGGCCTGTATTCAAGAGGTGGCCATTTTGGACTGTGATCCCCGAACCATTTCACTTACTGAACACTCTGAAATGGAAAGGGACCTGACTGTTCTACTGTAATTACAGGTTGAGCCTCACTTTGGAAAAGTACATCAATTTTCTTTCATGTGACAAGAAAGGTGGCATGACGTATCCATAATTTGGAACAATTCATCAGAAGACAAGGACTGTACCTGGTCAATAGAATGAATAATTCAGTGACACATGATCAACGATCCACTAATCAGATGACAGGGGTTTACGCAGGTATTGTGTAATGATCTATGATTTGCCCTCTTTGCATCACCCTTGTTCACAACCGTATTAATAGAACATTTTACAAGGTTCACCTCACTTTCAATCTGAGATGGCCCACTTGCAAATAAGCCCAAATGGGTATATTACGTGTACATGAACTTGGAAATAGAGAGGACACCCACATGCTAGCAAATTCAACCAGGTCGTATTTTTTTAGGCTCCTGGAATGTGCTTGCTGGCTACACACCATGCTTGTACAAACTAATCCAGTAACCAGTGCCCTTCTCGTGCAAGGCTTAAACATGTGCATAATGACTCTGCTACCAACAGGGTGTTTACAAATGGCCAAAATACATGGTACATGTTACACGCAAGCCTCGAGAATGTGTGGCATGCAACTGAATCCAATGCCACAGCAACACCTGTACAATGTAATCTCGGACTACTCAACGGCATGAGCATAATGCTGAATTGCTTCATTTTCAGCAATTTTGTACGTGTTATATTGCTGGACTACGGAGGAGTTGAAAACTGCGAAGGGCTGGCTATAGCTTGGTATTTGCATGAATTTTGAAATCTGTTAGAAAACCTCATTATCTATATACAGGTAATGCCAAGAACAAGCATGTTTATTCTACATGTCTCATTGCAATTTCAAAATGAAAACAACTTCCTGACTAGCTTGCATTTCAACAAACCAAAATTCAAAGCTACCAAACTGGTAAAATTTTCAGTGCAACATCTGCCATCCTGCTGAGGGCGGGGGGCAATGCAGAGCCCGTCTGGCCGAGTCTGAGCATGAACGGGCAGACCACTTTGGAAATTGCAAACCCCGATGATCAGAAACTGAATGTAAAGTGTGACGAGCCATGCACGCGTGAGCAAACATTTGATGATTTTAGAAATGCTAATAATGACCACTGAGAGTTACATGTACCTGTTTCATTCCCCATGCATCATGCAGCCATGCTCTAGTGCGTAATCACTTTGCCCGGTCATACATGTACATTCATTTAAAAACCAACAGAATAAAAATGAGTGAATGAACTAACAGGGTGTTTTTCTTTCACACCTCTATACAAAGCATACAAAGAAATGTTCTCAATATGTGCATACAGCATATGACAATGTCATACATAGGCCACAAAATAAAATGTGAAACCTTTAATTATTCAACTGCCAACTCGCCAGTCTGGCATCCACCTTCACATCCTCGCTCGCCCCCACTGATATTCTAGGATGCTAAGAGAGGCTGATGCCCTTTACAAAGTTTTTTTGAGGGAAGCAAAGGTGTTGCAAAGTCTTGTGGGTAGCAAACATTCCGCCTGCACCACCATGCCCTGGTCAAATGTTATCCAAGAGGGACTAACATAAATGACGTCATGCGGTCCTTCTTCTCAGCCCACCCAAGCACCCTGTACCACAGACGTCACATAAGAAAATCTGGAGTTGCAATGCCTTTGTACCTACTGAGGCCAATGGCAGCCATTTTAGTTTAGCCGAATTTAGTTAACAATGGCAAGCAAGTCTCTGTATAATACCTTTGTATTTGACATGGTAATATGGCTGCCAGTGGCTTCAATGAACTCTGTGTGCTGATCAAGGGCATGACGGGTCCAGATTTTTTTTATGAGGTCCTTGCCCTGTATGGGGGCGAGCAACGACACCTCCCCCAATTCTCCACAAATCCACCTCTGTGCAGAACCAAACCTCAAAGCCTTTACACTCAGAGGTCCATGTGAAATAATGACAGCTAGCCTTCAATGACTTACATCCTGCAAAGTCTTCCAAGATCTCCTGGTGGACTTTGAGGAATCAGGAAATTTGAGGAGTAATCCTAAACCCCACATGATGAACACCACAGTAAATGCACAGCTGCATTACAAAATACCCCCAAATGGAGAAATACTTGTGTGACCAATGCCACGTCCTCATTTATTCTAAAGGCAGGCTACAAACTGGGGGGGGGGCTTTTTTGTAACGACACAATGCCCAACAATTGAACACATAATGTCAGGTTTTACAGACTTGTCTATTCACTGACCAGGTAGTGTTTGATTGAACGTTTTGTATTAACACTTGTTAATGCATTTTTCTTCAATGCATAGGTGTGTAAGCTTCAATGTACATAGTACGCTGTCACCTTTGAGATTTTGACGACCATTTAACTCTTAAACCTGTTGAAATCTACAAAATTGGACAAACGGTAGCTTCTTTGACTTAACTGGTACACAGAGATTTTTCCTCATGTTTTTGCACTCTGTTGGTATCAACAAGCTCTTACACTTTTGCCTGCTTTTACTTCATTGAAACCTTTACTGGCGACCAAAATGAAGTTAGGTCATCATCTTCTGTAGGAAAGGACAGTGAGGATTGTCTTGGGGGAAGGAGGTTTCAACTGTGGTTTTTTAAAATTTACGAAGCAACGCTGGCTTAGTTGCGCAGTGTGGAAAGGGTTCTATGGGTTGTAGATAGGACAGTGACAAAATGTAACTGGGAAAAAAGAAAAGTACAAAGTGAGTAAAACACAGAAGCACTGAAAGGACTGCGCCAACTTGCTCGTCACCGCAGCAATGCCGGAGAATGATCAGAAGTTGTGAAGACCCAGTCTGAAGATGTCGTTGAGGACGTAGAAAGTTCCGTTCATAGACTTTAGTAAGAAGCTTTGATGGAAAGCTTTAGGAGGATCCTCGTCTGTCTGTGATGAAAACAAATTGGACCAAATAAACTCAAGTTTCCCTGTTACCGGTACATGCAACACAGTGTAAATACAATCATTACAATCATGCTGTCATACGTGAAGTAACTATGAATTCCAGCAGAACTAAGGCAACAGGGTTATTCTCTGTACACCCTTAGGAATTCATATCATTATAGATACCACTAGGGATGCTGCTTGAATTACATGAATGGGTGGAGCGACATTCTTTTTTCCATGTGGTGTGGTGATGTACCAAACAACCAATTATCTTACCCAATGCACTTGGCCACACCTGCTACTATACATAAATTGGGTTATGACTAATTGCGGCAAAAGTAAGTCCTTTTTATCAGAACTTTATGTCACTGTTGCTTTGGAGTTTATTGTTTGGATTTGTTGGAAATAATGTAATGAAATGATGATGCGAACTCCCAAAAGTGCATGCAGTAGTGATGAAAGCATTGTTTTACTGACAAATAGGACACTTCTGGAGACTAAAACCTACAAGGACGCTAAGATTAAGATTTCATGAAGTGCATTACAAATCATGTCTTGTGCTTCGCTTGTGAGTCAAACTCGAAGCCGGCTACTCTGGCAAGGATTTGGTCCGGTCCATTGGTCCCTTTGTGCAGACACTTATGCAGTCGCTGGTCTGACTGACATAAATCTGTTAGGACATCACTTGACAGAAGCGGTTCAATGAATGCATCAAAGCTTTGGTGATGGAAGATTATGGGGGGTAGTTTTGAGTATTACAAAAACAGATTGGTAATGGAATTGAAGTTGGGTTCATCCGATGAGAAAAGTAAAATTAGGCCAGTGCAGCGCTTCAGGGATCGGCACCATTGGGAATATTGAACCCTGTGAACGGACTTAGTTTTACCTGGACCTTGTGACGCCACTGTGGCAGAAATGAAACTAAAAAATGACGTCATGATAACATTGACAACCACGATATTTTTTTCACGATGTATCAGTTTGGGAAGACAGGCCTTCGTTAATTCATCTCTTTTCAGTTGGCAAATATGTAATTCTTCGTGGCATTTCTATACACAGAACCTTCTCAAACTCAAGACTTACCTTGACTTGACCTAACACAGAAACCAGGATAGACTGGTCTAAAGTAGGCTGGCTATCTATTGACGTAGCTACATGTTTCACTGTCCTAAATGGAAGTGCCTGTGAACAATAAATGACACAAGACGTTTCTGAGTTATACTTACACGTAAATGACCTACACTACAGGTCATGACAGGTGGCAAAAGTTACCCATTAAACAAGGACAGTGCCACAAATTGTGCCTCAACCTCATGGAATGACCCTTATACCTTATTTCTGAGTGCTGTTATCTGGTGAGTTGCAGGTCAAAACACAATTCAGGATTAAAAATGTCTTGCTTGTTGTCCATCTACCTTCTACTCAGTGTTGTTGGTGAGACTAGACCAGTCACAATGGCAGTCATAAGGTCAGTCATGAGAACGGTCACAATGGCAGTCATAAGGTCAGTCATGAGACCAGTCACAATGGCAGTCATAAGGTCAGTCATGAGACCGGTCACAATGGCAGTCATAAGGTCAGTCATGAGACCGGTCACAATGGCAGTCATAAGGTCAGTCATGAGACCAGTCACAATGGCAGTCGTAAGGTCAGTCATGAGACCGGTCACAATGGCAGTCATAAGGTCAGTCATGAGACCGGTCACAATGGCAGTCATAAGGTCAGTCATGAGACCGGTCACAATGGCAGTCACCAGGTCATTCACAAAGCCAGTCACAAGACCAGTTTTTATAATACAAGAGTAGTTGCAAGTAAAAGGGTGGCCATTGACAAAGGATCACAAAAAAGCTTAGACTGGAGTTCGAATTTCCTGACGTGGCGGTGCCCACCCAGTTGGCAGTGGTGCCTCCGAAAAGTGATTGTGTTTCACCACCAAGATGGCAGTGCCCTTTTTTTCTCTTGGCCGTAGTGCCCTACACATGCATATCGACTGCCCCTGTTCAGCCAGGTACACGGAAAGTGGCATGGAAAACGGCATACACATCATTCCTTGATTGCTCACATTCGACCGGAACACCGTGCTGTGCCACCCAAATGCATGGCATGCATGCACAAGCAAGGCGTGCGTGCAGTGTGACTATGGGGATATTGTACACTCAGCCCGCTGCACACCGGCGGCCCGCTCCATGCACACTGCACGATCGCAAGTGCGCCATAGGCGACACCTGCTGGCCTATCCAATGACTTAACAAAACTGCGCATGTCCAAGCAAAGCATTTTAATGTACCATACAATAATGTTAGTCTAGAACTAAGTGCTCATCAACGTGTACGCGTTGTCGGTATATCGAGAGCTCCACGTTTTTCATGCACACGGGAAACAATTGTATGGTGGTGGCAGTATTTTAACTAACATTGCAATGCATTGTTTGTAGTTAAGTGCCACGCATCGCGCACGATCCGAACTATACATACACGACAACGGTCAATCGCGACTACCCTGATTCTCACGTATGCTGTTGTGCGCAAAATCACTGGCCCGGCCAGTTTTTGTGGTAGGCAAAATGTCGAGGAAAGAACGGCTGCAGTCAAAACAGGCCGAAGCCTGCCAACACTCGGCTGCTGCTTTGGCACAATCACGGACATGTTCAGGTGTAATGCGTATCCTACTTTTTCTTAGGCCGGAATGAATTAATTAGATTGATTTCCACGCAATTTTTTTATTAGGGCCTGTTGTAATGTCAACAAAAAAATCGGGATAGCATCAATGCCCATATTAAACTTTGGTACGCTGATGGCGTCAATGCCCATAACTGTGGTACGCTGATGGCGTCAA